CAGTAACTATATTCATTTCTTTCTCACAGATACTTATTAATAGTCTCAAAAGCTCCCTTTTAAAGAAGCTTCATTAAAAAGTCCTTACATTCATATCTATAAACACATCTTATATTCACCCATGACTTATTCTAAGAAACGATTAAATCTAAAATACAAGTAAAACTACCGTATTTTTCACTCCATAAGACGCACCTTTCCATAAGACGCACCCATTTTTAAGGAGAAGAAAAAGAGCGTCTTATGGTGCGAAAAATACGGTATTTCATTCAGAACTCTATATTTACCACCAACATTATAAGCCTGGATACGAAGAAATCCGCTCACTATTTTCAAGTGGATTTTCACTTTCCTAAAAAGAATCAAACTGTTCACTGTCAGCTTTGGGTTACAGATGAAATGTATCAATAAAACTGCAGAGGATGTGGCTAGAGGTACTTGGCAGAAGAAGATAGTCTAGACCAGTGGTTCTTAACCTTTGTTACTCGGATGTTTTTGAACTGCAACTCCCAGAAACCCCAGCCAGCACAGTTGGTGGTGAAGGCTTCTGGGAGTAGCAGTCCAAAACTCCTGAGTAACCCAAGGTTAAGAACCAGTGGTCTAGACAAGACCTATTTGCCAAAACAAACCTTAAATTTAATACAGTAAAGTTGTATCTGTTTGTTACTCTTACTTTTTTCATAAATAGATGTAGGGGATCAGCTCTAAATCAAAACCCAAGTGTGGGATTAGGGACCTACATCTCTTTCTCACTGCTATGGTCCTGATTTGTGTTGTGGCCTGGGCCTTGCAATTTCCATTTACACAAAAAAGCTTGTTAATGTGTAAATTGCAGCTGTTAATGTGCATATATCTGGATTAGGAACATAGCAAGATAAAAGCTGAAAGCTCTCCTAGTTGTCCTTACATGCCATCAACGTATGGTGATCTTATCAATTATGCCTTACCCAGATGCCCTGTTCTCAACAGCTCTGCTCAGCGCTTACAAACACAAGGTGATGTTTCCTGTAGGGAGACAATCCAGCTCATATTTGATCTTCTTCTTTTCCTGCTGCCTTCAACATTTCCCAGGATTATTGTCCTCTCTAGAAAATCTTGCCTCCTCATTATGTGCCCAAAATAGGACAGCCTCGGTTTCATTATTTTTGCTTTCAGAGATATTTCAAGTTTGATTTGACCAGCTTATTCATCTTTCTGGCAGTCCGTGGTATTTGTAAAGTTCTCCTCCAGCAGCATATTCCAAAGGAATCTTTTCTCTCCCTCCCCCCCCGTCCCCTTTCTTTACTGTCTACTTTCATACTGATGCAGTAATCAATAATACAAGAGTGTGGCTGATCTTGGTCTTGGTCTCCATCGACACATTTTTACATCTGATTATATTTTCTAACTCTTTCATTGCTGCCTTTCTGAGTGTCAATCATCTTCTGATCTCTTGGCTGCAGTTCCATCTGGATAGATGATTGAACCAATATTCGTATACTAGAGCCCTTATTTACTTAAGGAAAAAGAACAGATGTACATCTACTACATCTGTTATATGCTATAAAAGCAATGTACAATTTTGTTGTCTTTCTCTGTTTTATATTATTTCTGGGAATCTTAGTGATTTGAAGCATTCTTAAGAACTTCAGGAAATATTCCAGGGCAATGAAATTATTCAAACAGCTTGTTTTTACCTAGAGTAAGAACTATTTGCATCCTTCACATGTAACCTAGCTGACAAAATCCAAACTACTCCTATTAGGGTAGCAAGGCTGAAGTGGTAATCTCCACTGTGACTCCAAGACTGCACTCGCCGTGATTCACTATCTGTACAGTAGACTGTATTGTGCAAAATGTGAGTTAATTCATACATATTTGAACTGATGTCATGTGAAATCTTTGTATTCATCTCTGGCAAGAAAAAGACAGTCAAAAAGACAGAAGCTGTGAGCTATTCAAGAATCTCCCCTGTTTGAACATCCTGACTGCCCATAAGACAGTAAAAAGTGTGATCTTTTCACTCTGCTAAGACACAACTCTTTGGAAACGTATGTGCTTTCTCAAGGCTGAGCTTGCCATATGCTTGACAACCTCTACAATGACCTACACTGACCAAGGGATCAGCGAAAGTAATTGGACTGATTAATGCTTCTATAACTTATGTGCCCTCACACAGAAGCATAACCAGAGTGCCAGGTTTCATTTCCATTCTGTTTTATTAGAGGACAAAAAATGCCTTAATAGTTGCTGTGCACATCCCAGTAAATCAAGATAAATGTGAACAATATTTTTCTCATGCACCCTTCTAGTTGCAGACATTAAATTAAATTTCTCTGCTTGATTCAAAAATGTAGTTACAGCCAAATAAAGAGCCCTATTGATCATTTGACCTTTTAGAAAAAAAAAATACATCCTGGACTCAGCAATTACTCTTAATTTAATTCAGATACAATCTATTTTCAACAGTGTAAAGTATAGCATGAATATTATGTTAGTACATTCAAGCACAAATAAAGACAAACCATGTATAAGGTTAAGATGATGTTCATATTAACTGATGTACCTTTTCCTTTATACATGTCTACAATGGAAAAATAATAAGTAAGGGGGCCTCCTGGGCACACTGTTTACCCCGAGCATACTAGCTCCCTTGTTCTTTTGATCACTTGAAACTTCTTTTGAGTAATCTTAGCAAGAGCTTACTCATTCATCTTTCAGTTCCTGTTTTTCCTGAACAAGCACCAATCTGAATCATGTAAAATAAATTCTCATTAATCTCCTGCTGTAACTGCACCACTTCCTGTACACTGATTGCCAAGCTTGCCAAGTAGGAAAATGCTTCATACCATTTAATATTTTCACACTAAGAATTCAAGTAGTTAACCCACAACTCCATATCAGATAGTAACTGTGACTTTAAGATAAAAATTAGATTAAATTAAGAACAATTAAATTTGCAATGACAATTACATAAACATTAATCAAATTAATGTACAGTTGTGATCATAATTATGAAGGTATTTCTGTAAATGCACATGATAAAGCTGTTAAGATACAATAAGCAATCACTTCATTGCTAATTTTCATCTAAGGTAATTACTTCCAGTTAGTTTTAGAACATTAATTATTAACTTAGTCAATAGAGAAATGCTGTATTCAGTCCTGATGCAGCTTGCTGAACTCCATTATACCTTTCTGCCTTTCACATCTAGTTCTGAGCAAGCCTTACAACTTCATATCACACAGACAAAAACTTAGCATAGCCTTATTCTGACAGCTCATTTTAGAATAGGATTCAACCTAGTTTACGGGGCCTCCAACCCTCCCCCATTTGACCTACTGCACCCACACATGTTCAACCCTACCAACTCCTATGCATAAAGCCCGTTCTCTTATTGTCTTTTAAACATACTTTTTTTTAGCTGGAGCACAGCAAACAATGGCTACCCAGATGGAATGACAGTGCTGAAATGCTTGCATCCCCTGGAGAAATAATCTCTTGTAAGGGCCACCAGGGACCTCTAAGTGCAGCAGCAGCAACTATTAATGCTCCAGTAACCAAAATGAACTGGGAACAGTTAATTTTTTGGGCTGCAGCATTCAAAATCCCCCAGCCAGTATGGCCAGTATTCTTATCACCACATAAAGAATGTTATATCAAAACTGTTGGAAAAATATGTGTACTTTTGTTCCATCAGATTTCAGTCTAGTCCAGAGTAAAGAATACATTTACAGTAAAAAAAAAAAAAATCTTGGTCACTGCTGTGTGACCGGCATCAAAGCACTTCTGTGTACAATTTTGAGCATCACTGGGAAAAGAATTGCCAATAATTGTATAATGGATTGTATTTCTGCATCTAATTCTAAATACAAACATAAATTAATTAGAAAATGTTGGTATTCTCATTCACCAAGTTCAACCATAGTTTTGCCTCAAGGCAGCCTGGCAATCATCCTTCCTCTGTCTTGGCTATAACTCTTCCAGCTCACATCATGATTTTTACATGGAGAGTCACTAGCTTTGCCTTACCTACATATGTATCATCATCTCCTATTTCTGCGTTTCCCTCTGCTGATCTGGATTATTTCTTTGTTTGCCATCTGCTTACATACAATTTCCAGTGTCCTTGGACAGATGTCAGCTTCGGGTTTTGCTAGACAGTTCTCTCCTTTGGACTGTTCCACACTCCTGTAGTTTGACCTTATAGCACACTGTTCTTCACACTTCTACCCTTGCCTCAATTTCTGCTAATCCTTAGTCTATATCTGATTTTAATATCCAGCATTGACATTTACAGAGGAGAATCATTTAACAGCCTCAGTTGGTAGACTAGCATTCCCTCCATTATCATCTATCAAACATGTTCAGTAGACTAAAAAATAAAAGCCATTGTAAGACTGTTCAGTACTTCTTCAGATGTAATATTGGAAAAATATATTCTTTCATGTTTTTAGAGCCAGACCTATCCCTTCTTCCCTCTTCCAGAGAAGCAAATGTTCAGTGAAACCATGTGGTGACATGGTTTGTTCTTCTATGTCAGATCTTTACCACATTCACTTTATTCTATGTAGTGAAAAGGGGGAAGAGGGAGAATGAAGCCTCAGACTTCTTTCTTCTGATGTTCACACAACACACATTATAAAAGTTAACGTATTCTCTCTTTTCCAAAAAAGGATGACATTCTTTTTCCTTTTTTTCCCCACTTCAACTAATTTCTGATTGGTTCCCTTGTAATGACTTCCTCGTCCTTCTGCTATATTACAGGAATCTTACCCTAGCAAACTCCTCACTCTCAAATCCGTACTGTCTATCAGCATTCATCAGTAAGAACAACTAAAAGGCAAGTTGAAAATTAATGGTAAATTGCTATGTGAAATAACTACATTGAATCAATATAGCATAAGGCTGCAATCCTATGCATCTCTTACACTGTAGTAAGTGACTCACGTCCAAGAAAACATGCATTAACAATTGCACCTGAAGCCCAGATATCACCCAAGAACATATTCTGACCTACCTGGACTGCATATCTTGCTGTGTTTTGGGCTGGCCAATCTCAGTGGGAGCTGAAGAATGAGAGACGTGCTGTTGTAGCTCAACCAAAGACTGATAGTACTGTTGTTGTTGGTGTTGCTGCTGTTTATAACGAGACAGACTGAAAAACAGCCCTAAAATGGCTTTCAAATTTCCATTCCTTATTTCTGCAAAAGAAAAAGAAAAAAGGGAAATGAAAATAACAAAACTTAGCATTCAGTTCTGTTTTCACAGGTGTGCACATTTTCCATTCAATGTGTGTGCAAAAGGCAAGCTTTTCCTCAATGCCTGTTGCCTTAGTGGGATTTTTAATGTGTTTTAGTATTGCTGGTTTTTTAACCATTTCTCAGAGTGGTATTTGTTTTTTCTTTTTAATATTTTTATACTTATTGTTTTTAGCTTTAAATGTTGTCTTTTAATGATGTAAGCTGTCTTGGGTAGTTTTTAAGGAGAAAGGCGGAGTAAATAAATTTTAAATAAATAAATAATAAAATAATAAATTATTATTATTGTTTCCCTCCTACTGGAACTTGGATGTCATCGTGGCTACACTGCCTTTGGATGTCATGGCTCTAAACAGTTATGTTGTGTTTACCCACTCCAGTCTCCCAAGTTCTTTAACCAATAAGTTTTTCTCCTTCTTCCACTTAGTTTGTTTCCTTGCCACTTTAGAGCTTGTTTCAATGAAAAATAGAGTATTTTATTTTTTACTAAGTGGTCTTTAGGTCCAAGAAAGTTCCCCAGAAATATATTGGATGATATCTCACAGAGGAAAAGAAAGAGTAGTAGCCTACTGAAAGTGTAATGAATTCCAGATATTTAGGCAGACTGTGTTAAAATATTATGGCTAGAATCCTGGGGGGGGGGACATGTTCATAACTGTCATTGTAGAAGGAGTCTCCTTTTGCTTTGATGTTGGCCACACAAGTAGTTAGGCACTGGTTGCAAAAATGTTTACTTTGGCAAAGGGGAAAAACTGCTTGCATGATAACCCTTGCATAAATGTGGTTTCCCACCCGCCCCGCCCCCACAGCAAGATTCTGGGATGAGCAACGACACACAGAACTAGACAAAGTGTGCCTAGGGTGCAACTGCTCCTATAACTCTCAGACTTATTTGTGCACATTATTTTAAGTAGTTTTAGTTGATTATTTCACATTCTGTACTTCTTGAATCCTAGTAATCCTCAGACTTACTTACACATATCTGTACGGAAAGGACATCACTCATACTGGGAGTACTTTTTCCAAAGTTACTCCACCTTTCTCCTTAAAAACTACCCAAGGACATCACTTCCCTCCAAAGCTACAACATTTTCCCATGTATAACGTGCTACTTTTTCCTAAAATTGTTAGACTAAAAATTGAGGGTCGTCTTATAGGCAGAAGTAAGCTGAGGAGAAAACCGTGTGGTTGCACAAAACTGCCCATGTCTCTGCAACTGGTTTCCAAATCAGATAATAATGCAACACCTGAGGGGCCAGATTGATTTTCATGTGAAAAAAAAAGAAGTAGCATTCTGATTCAGTTAACCAAATTTTTCTTTTGCTGCTAATTATGAACAGTGGGCCCTCGACTTACGAACGGCCCTAGTTGCAAACATTTCAGGTTACGAACCTGATCTCATCGCAAGTAGGGTCTAGTTACGAACGCAGATCAAGTTACGAACCCAAAAGGCAGGGAGAAAGGGTGCCTTCAGAGGTTTCAAAGGGCTTTTCCCAACATCAGAGGAAGCCCTTTGAAAGCTCCAGAGGAAGGGCAGGAAATTCGAATTTCCCGCCCTTTCTCCCTGCCTTTTTGGCTTCGGAGCCACCGAAGCTCACCCAACGCCGGGAGGCTAGAGCTGGCCGGGTGCTTGGCCGCTCACCCCCGGCCACAGCGGAGGCTGTGGAGCACTGGCAGGCTTCAGACTGTTAAGTCCTAAAACTTTTCTGTGTGGGTTTTGGAGGGTGGGTTTGGACTGTGGGGTTTATGTTTATGTGGGTTTTTTTGTGTGTATGTGAGAGAGTTCTTGCAGTCCCAATGTGGGACTTGCTCTTTTTATTTTTATTTTGCTAATTTTTTGAAATGCTGGAATGGATTAATTCCGTTCCCATGCATTTCAATGGGAAATGGTACTTCGACTTACAAACTTTTCGAGGTACAAAGTCCTTCCAGAACGTATTAAGTTTGTAAGTCGAGGGCCCACTGTACTTACTCAGCAACCAGTCTGCCTCCACTTATGAGTGAAACTGCTGATAACTTGTCTCTGCAAATAGGTTTCCTCCAATCACGAGCCTTATGTATATGATGTAAGCTGATGGGGCATGTAGGCAGTGCGACAGTGACCAGTAAAGATCACTGAGCCCGACTTACGAACTTTTCGAGGTACAAAGTCCTTCCAGAACGGATTAAGTTTGTAAGTCGAGGGCCCACTGTACATACTCAGCAACCAGTCTGCCTCCACTCATGAGTGAAACTGCTGATAACGTGTCTCTGCAAATAGGTTTCTTCCAATCACGAGCCTTATGTATATGAAGTAAGCTGATGGGGCATGTAGGCAGTGTGACAGTGACCAGTAAAGATCACTGAGCCCATAAAGATGTCAGAAAATAAAAAAGAAAATATGTGAATTTTTACTTTGCAAAATTCAAACTGAATGTAATCAGTTATGCAAACAAAGCTGAATGAAGTGATTTGCTCAGCTAAGTGCATAATATCATAGAACTGATATGTAAACGCCTAATTACTAAAATGTGTTCCTTTCTAATGTTTAAACTACTGATTTCTGAATGTAGGGTTAGAAAATTGGGGGGGGGGGTTATGTTAAGCTCAGCTCCCAAACCACAGCAAATAAGATTTTACAAACCTAGTCATTTTCACCTGTCCTTTAATAAATAGTCTATGTCATGAGTTATTCTTGTTTTTCATGACCATGTCATGGGGGAGGGAATCTAGCCTCTTTTGTCCACCCATTCCACCCATTCCATGGTTTCTGAAGACTGATGGTTTTCTATTCTTCTTCATGAACATATATTTTTAGATGGACAATTGAAAAGATAATCATGTTTATTTAATGCCATCTGCCTGGAGGCAGGCTAGTAGGTCAAGATAACTTTTAAAAATAGATGCTCATAGTGGATAGTTAAAAGTCCAATAGTCAAAATAAGATTATCTACTTTACTTACCTAGATATCTGTATATTAGGAATGTAAAAAATACTCACTAGAATATTTGTTCTCTTTCATTTATGCTGTTAGTGAGACACCTCAACAAGGAATTTTGATGACCTGCAAGGTTCCTCATTTTCAGGCAAGAGAAAGTAAGTCTACTTTTTCCCCCTCAACATGGTCTTCATACTTTGCATAAACTATCTTTGCATATTACCAGTGTCCTTTCACTTTGAAAAGCAAGAGTAACCATGTACATGCATTCAGACATGTGGACACAGTATAACAAAGAAGAGTCTCACAGAATATCTTAAACTCCGGTGCAGCAATGAGAATAATTGTGAAATTTCTCATTCTCCCATGTAAGGACTTTATTCTCAGCACTGAACTCAACCATCTGAATTGGGCCCTATAGGCAAATGGCTACTCTAAAAATGAAATCACAAGAGCCATCAAACCAAGAAAACAACACCGAACTGAAGAAGAAAAACAGCTACCCACAAATAAAAAGTATTTCTGCCATACATCAAAGGGGTCACAGAC